CCCCAAAAAAAAAAAAAAAAAAAAAAAAAAAAAAAGAATTATGCATGGATGTGTACCTGCTAACAGACATGCATGGCACAGCAAGCATATATGTATGGGGATTGGGTTGCACAGTTTTACAAAGAGGTGTGCTGCATCTCCACGCTTACAGACGTGCACTCTGCCAGTGTGCACACGTGCACGGGAGTTGTACATTGTTTGCACACTTGTATGGGGATTGTGCACCTGCATGCACACGCCTACAGACGTACACATGTGGGTTTATATACCTGCCTGGGGATTGGGGTGCTCATGTACATGGTTTACAAACGTACCCTCAGTGGGTTTACACCCATAAACATGCTTGTGCACATGCTTACAGACACACGCTCTAGCTTTATACATGTATGTGGGGATTGGGCATTCTTCATTACTTGCTTTACAAATCTACACTTGCAGGGTTTGCACCCATGTCCAAGGATCAGGCATGCTCGCATACACAGCTTAGGACATACATACAGTGTACATACAAAAGAAGATAGCACTGTTCATTGTCATGGTTTATACACGTACACTCGTGGATGTACACACGTGTGCCAATATTGTGCTGCTGTGCAAATGCCTGGGAAGATACACCCACGATGCTCCTGAATGCCGTGGCCCTGAATGCTGACTTTAGCCTGCTGTGGGCACACAGGCCCAGTTCCAAGTACAGCAGGGTTGAGGTGGGGGCTACGGAGGATGGAGGACTCACAATGTGGCACCACGGTGACCTCCTGAACGTCTTGGCCCAGGAGGTTGTGCAGCGTGCAGCGCACTGACAGCGGCTGATCCACACGGCGCAGGCGCAGTGTGCTCACCACCTCGAACTCCTGCTCCTCTGCCCAGTACGTCACGTTCGTCTCCAGCAGGCTCTCCTCCTCGGAACTGTTCCCCAGTGGCGTGGGAGGCAGCTCCAGCGGACACCTGCCGGAGAACCAGCCAGGTCGGCTTCCAGTCCCTTGCTTCCCTATGCGGGTGGGAAAACTGAGGCCAAAAGCAGGTAGAGCCACCGGGTGGTGGTAGAAGGAAGCTGGGCGCGTTCAGTTCCTTTTCCCCACTGCCTGGTCCTGAGTTGGTTCCTCCCGTGATCCCTCAACTGACCAGCAGGGGCGCACCTACCCCAGAATTGAGAACCTGGATTGCAAAATCCACTCCCTTCCTTTGACCCTCAGGGTTAAGGTAAGGAAAGGTGACAATTTAGGTCATGCAGAGCATCTCCAAGAAGCCACATCTTCTCGAATATGGATCTAGCCTGGAACAGTGTTCCCAGAGGATGGTGTTGGACTAGATGACCTTCATTGGGTCCTTCCAGTCAGCTATGGGTAGCCTGGGAGACCCTGGCCCAGGGTCTGCTCACCTTTTGAGGTTGCTGCAGGTAGACCAGCTGAGGTGTGGCTGGGGCATGCCCCGGCCACGACAGCGGACTGTCTGCTCCCCGCTGGCAGGGTGGCTCTCGCTCAGCTCCAGCACACGGACAGGCACTGCAGGGAGAGGGGCATGGGCCAGGGAGGTGGAGAGGTCAGGATAGACAGTAAGAAAGGCCCTCAGGGAGGACCTGGTCCAGAGTCTCCCCACGGGGGGAGGGGAGCTTCAGACTGCAGGTGAACATTAAACACCAGGAATCACCATGCGAAAACTGACAGATTCCCCTTCTGGCTACTTCAAAGGGAAAATCTCAGTAGGGTGCTAGTCTGTCTTTAACACCTCTCTGAGATTTGCTAATCTTCCCTTTTAACAAAGAGAGGGCAGGCCTCAGGATCAGAGCCCTGGACCGGCAAGAACGTGGAGTTAGAATTTAATAGCACTGTTTTGTTTTCTCAGAGTCTATTTTAGTGGTTGCTTTATATTTATGACATGTGATGCTGATTTTCCATCTACAGTGGAGAAGTTCACTTTTCATTCAAAATAAATTTATTTTTAGAGGGTCAATTCACAAAACATTAAGTCATTATTGTGTCACTTCTCTGCTCAAATCCTGCAGTGGCTCCTCATTTCAGTCACAGTAAAAGCCAAAGTCCATACAAGCGCCCAGGAAGGCCTACGCGATCTACCCTCTCCTGCTCCCCCAACTGCCCCGTCTCAGCTCTGACCTCATCTCCCATCGCTCTCCCCTTCACTCTGTTCTGGCTACACAAGCCTTTCTGCGCTGCTCCTGTCTTTGCACTGCCTGGTGTGCCCTTCCCCCAAATAGTCACTTGGCTAATGCCCTCACCTTCTTCAAGTCTTCACGCAAATGTCATCTCCATGCAGCCAATCTTGATCATGCTATTTGAAATTGTAACTCTCCCCACTCCCCTGCCCCCAGGACTCTCTACCCTCCTTAACCAGCTTTTCTGTTTGTTTGTTTTCTTTCACAGCACTTGTTACCTTCTAACCTTGTACATGGTTTGCTGTTTTTTCCCCTTCTCTGAAGGTTTATCTTCCCCGCACTGGGAAGCAAGCTCCACAATGGCAGGGCCTCGAGACTCTTGAATGGACTGGCATACTGTAGTTGCTCAATAAATATCTAATTAGTAGTATAGTAAGTGGTGTGTGAGAAGGAAAAAGCATGCCACTGGGATGTGGATGCCTGAGGTTTTGTAAACACCAATCTAGCCCAACGATCTTCTCGTAAAGCTGTGGAAACTGAGGCCCAGAGAGGGGATGTGCACACAGCGGGGGTCAGTGTCAGAGCCTGGCCTAGAACCCAGCCTCCTGAGTCCTGGGCTCTCTCTTCTCCTCCTGTGGGTGGATGGACAGTGTAGGAATGGCAAGACAATGGGGGTGGGAGGGTCAGGGGAAGGAAAGCAGGGCGGAAGGCTCCTCACCGTTGACCTGCAGCTGGAAGGAGAGCTGGGCTTCAGCATCCTCATGGAAGGCCCGCATGGTGTAGCGGCCGGCTTCAGCCACCTTCACCCGCACCAGTGTCAGTTCTGACACATACCTGATGAGGAGGACAGGCCAGGAGACCCAGCTGTCAGAGCTGGAAGAAGTCCTACAGCCCCCACCTTTCTTGTAAAGACAGAAAAACAAGGTCCAGGGAGTGGAAGGGGAGTGTCAAGGTCACACGGGTATCAGTAGCAGTGCCAGGACTTTTGAATCCCCACCCATAGGCAGCTCCAGTGAGTCAAGAGGGGGGGGTTAGGACGGATGGGGTTGGGGGCGTGGTGGAGGGGAAAGCACCATCTCCACCCGTCCACAGCTCATCCCTTTCAGAAAGGCCTGACACTGCTTTATCCTAACATGCAGCACCTCAGGTCAGTCTGCTAACCTCCAGCCTCAGGGCCACCATTCTTGCACAGCTGGCAGTGGCCTGCCTGGCACCCTCTTCTCTAGTCATCCTGCCTTTTTATCCGTGGCTGCTTCCGGCTGACTCCACCCATCACAAGGACAACTAAACATCTGGGTGATCGTATGACCAGAGTCCATTTTCCCCTCTAGACAGGAAACTCTAGGAAGGCTGGAACTGTCTGTTCTGGTCTATGCAGCATCCCCAGTGCCTGGCACAGGCCCCCGGTATGGCGCCTGGCATGTAGTAGGCTCTCAGGAAAGATGGGCCTCGATAGGTTTGTCAAGTAGCTTAAGGCTGTGGGCTGCCTGCCGGCTGCAGAGAATAATAACTTCACGAATGAAGTGGACAGGCAGCCGCTCACCGGGTCTCAGACACATTGCGCGTGGACAGCGCAACCTCGCCGGCGCCGGAGTCACCCAGGGTCCGGTTGTCCTTGAACCACATGACAGTGGGCGGCGGGTAGGCCTCGAACACCACCTGAAGTGTCCGGCTGCGGTGAAGCTCCGCGAATTGTACAGGGTCCAGCTCTCCCAGCAGCCGCACGTAACCGCTCTCTGCAAGGGGCGGCCGTCAGGGGCGGGGCTCTGCCCGGCCTCCAATGGGGCAGCACCTCCTGGGGGCGGGGCCTCAGGCTTTAGGAACTGAACCAGCGATGGAGTTACCTGACTTAGGGTTCAGGTGGGTACTGTGATGGACTGGAGCAGGAGCCGAATTTGGGGCTGATACTGGTTTGGGGGCTGGGTTCAAGATTGGGACTGGGGTTGCAGTGCTCTTTGGTGTGTTCTGTCTCAGGATTGTGGCGGAGATGAGTTACAGCCTGGCTGAATTTGGGGATGGGGCTGCCTGGGCCGGGGATGGCAGCTGGGATTTTGAAATCGAGTTGGGGCTCGGGGTTCTGGCTAGGCGGGAAGTCTAGGTTGGGATTAGGATTGGATTTGGGGCTGGTACTGTGCTTTGGTTTTGGTTTATCCTGAAAAGGGGGCTTTGCTTGGCACTAAGGCTAGAGATGGATTAGAACATGGCTGACAGTACCCCAGGGCTGTGACAAGGTCTGGGTCCAGTTCAGACTGAGGGCTGGGGGTAAGCCTAAGGCACACACCGACCACGGTGACATTGATGGCCTTTTCATCTCGATGGTCGCTCACGCTTTCTGATACATTGCAGATGTAAGTCCCTGAGTCTCCCAGCTCAGCACTGGGGATGTGCAGGATAGAACGTATGTGGGGCATTTCAAAGAGGAAGTCGGTCACTGGCTCCACCAGCCGCCCACTCTTTGGGGCTCGGGGTTCTGGCTAGGCGGGAAGTCTAGGTTGGGATTAGGATTGGATTTGGGGCTGGTACTGTGCTTTGGTTTTGGTTTATCCTGAAAAGGGGGCTTTGCTTGGCACTAAGGCTAGAGATGGATTAGAACATGGCTGACAGTACCCCAGGGCTGTGACAAGGTCTGGGTCCAGTTCAGACTGAGGGCTGGGGGTAAGCCTAAGGCACACACCGACCACGGTGACATTGATGGCCTTTTCATCTCGATGGTCGCTCACGCTTTCTGATACATTGCAGATGTAAGTCCCTGAGTCTCCCAGCTCAGCACTGGGGATGTGCAGGATAGAACGTATGTGGGGCATTTCAAAGAGGAAGTCGGTCACTGGCTCGACCAGCCGCCCACTCTGTAGGGAAAGTTGGGGCAAGCCCCCCACATCAGGAAAGGTCCATGAAGTCAGGCTACAAGCCTGAAATATCCATCCCTGCCTGACCCTTCCTCCAACCCATGGCCCGGCATTACCTCCATGCGTGGGTATGTCCACTCAAAGTTGACCACCTCATTCCCAGTCACAATGCACATGATGGTGATGTTCTCCCCTTGGCGGACCACAGTCTGCACCGCATTCACTGAGACGTTGATGGATGACACTGGTGGAAAGAGACTGGCTTAGGGCTGAGGAAGTCACCCCCCAGCCACCAGCACATCCGTTTAGGGAGGGGGTGGGGGTCCAGAGAGGGAAGGGATAACTGGTGTGGAAGATTCACTCTTTCAACAAATATTGATTAAATACCTACTATTCTAGGCACTGGGGCTTTAGCAGGAAACACAACAGACAAAATTCCTGTCCTCATGAAGCTGACATTCTAGAAGGGGTAACAATTTTGAAATCAAAGTACTCTCTGGGCATCTGAGTACAGCAGAAATTTATTGAGCACAACCACATACTCTCCATCTTTTGTTTTATTTAATCTTCACAAGAATCCCACTAGGTAAGCAGGCAGTATTATCCCCATTTTACAGAGGAAGAAGCAGACTCAGAGAGATTATGTGTCTTGTGCAAAGTCACTCAGATGGGAAGTGGCAGAGCTGGGATTTTCAAACCCCACTGGTTCAAAGCCTGTGCCTTTGCCCACCGCAGTATACAGCCCAGCTCCACCACTAATGCTTCCTGTGACCTTGGACATACTCCATCCTCTTTCTGAGCCTCAGTTTTCTCATCTGTAAAATGGGGCAACACACCTGCCTTCCAAGGCTGTAGTGAGAATTCAGTGAAAAATGGAATTGCACACTGTATTATCCGAAAGGTCTGTACCTCTGTGGAGGGTCATACTTGCCTCTGCTGAGCACCAGGCCAGAAAGGGGGCTCACCCTGGAGGCTGTAGACATAGTAGGCATCCGAATCCACCTCCCTGTCCCCGATGGTGGTTTTGCAGACGTAGGTCTTGTCCTCAAAGGTACCAGAGAAGCCACGTTGGTGGTCATAGACGATGGGCAGCGGGACATCCACCTTCTTCTCATGCAATGTCACCACGAGTCTCGGATCCGTCACTCGGCATGGAATTGTGGTCTCAGTTATTTCCGTGAGAAAGATGAATAGTTCCTCGGGGTCAACAGGGAGGAAGCCCACAGTGGGATCTGCCATAGGTGAAGCCAAGAATACGAGTCAGAGGAGCTGGGTTTCTGGCTATGCCCTGATGTTCTCTGTTACCCTGAACAGGTCTCTTTCTCTCTCTGGGCCTCAGTCTACCCACTACAGAATAAGCACGCTCTCAGAGGTCCCTTCTAGCTTTAGCATGATATGGACAGCACTGGCCTGAGAAAGAAGATAAGTTGCAAGTTGAAGGGCAGCTGGTACCTGGAGCTTAGAGAATGGGGAGAATGAGATGTGGAGGCCAAGAGGGTGCATACTGGAACCAGCTGAGAATGCAGAGTTCTTGGGAACCAGGAATGGGGTGGGCTGGCAGGGAGCAGACAGATATTCAGAGCAAGGGGTGGGAGTGAACATACTCCTGGACTGAACCAGGCTGGATTCCCTGATGCATCTGCATTTCTGAGACAGCTGTGTTTCACCATATCAGTAAGGCACTTTCTGAACTTCCCCCAGATGCCTGCAGTTGAGAAGAGGAATAAGGGAGTGAGTACACAGGCCGGGGGCCCTCACCTGGCACAAAGATGTAGAGTCGTTTTCGCTCGCTGGCCTCCAGCCCACGGGAGCCTTTGTAGGTACAAAAGTATTCTCCTGTGTCTAGCCCTGTGACATTGGTCAGTGTCAGCACGCTGGAGAAGATGCCGTCCTGGCTCGTGGTCATTTCCTGTGGGGGCTTCTGGGACATCCGTTCCCACACCACTGGAGCTGGACCCGAGCAGGTCAGAACAAAGGTGCTGGAGAGATTGAGGACAAGCTCTGGCCCCGGGGGTGTGATGACCAGGCCCCAGGAGGCCTGTGGTCCCAGCAACAACAGCAACGGCAGCAACAGCACCTGGCCTTTGGGAGAGGAGACATCAGGGCACGAGAGCATGAGCACCTCCCCCCACAGCTGACCCTGAAGAACACACCTCCCTAATCACAGGGAACACAGACTGGAACCCATGGCTCTGAGACCTGCTTGCCCAGGGCCTGGTCTCCAGGGACTCCTTCTGGCCTCCTGGCCTCTTGACCTCAGTTCCTAGAGACCCTTTCTGCAGTGCAGCTTTCAGGCTGCAGGCATGTTCTCTCAAAGGCATCAGGAAATCCTCGGGAAGCAATTCCCAGGCCTCCAGTTCCTGCATTACTTCCCAGGTCACTTTCTGAGGCTCTTCCCTGCAGCTGTCCCAGATGTCCAGGTTCTGCCCCAAATCCCAGAGATGGCCCTGCTTGGGGAAGTGGTGGCCAAGGTAGTCCAGAGTGAGGCAGACTGGGGCACGAAAGATATTGAGGCCCCTGGAGGCTGAAGGGGACTGGGGATCGGGGGTTGTCAAGTGATTGGTTTCCCCTCCTCTTGCTGACACCCCCCGGGGAAGGATTCTGTAAGCCTCGCCCTCCCCACCCTGGCCCACTTCGGCAGGGAACATGAGGTGAAAATAAGCACCCACTTAGATGGGTGGGTGCTCAGCCAGTGGGTCGGTCATCTTTGGGTGCGCCTTTGGCTGGTCACTGATTGCTTGGTCAGCACTGATTGCCTGGAGAAGCCCACCCAGACTTGGGAGCTTACAGCCAAGGAGGGGGTCCAGGCAGGAAAGGGGAGTCCCCCACTGGAACCAGACTGGCCGGACTAGTACCAACAAGTGCTGACAAGAGATGGGAGACCAGGGTGACTGTTAGGGAATGGGGTGGGGACTGCTGGTGAGGGGACATGGGGTGTGGAGGGCCAAGCCGAGGATTTGAGCTGATGTCTCTGGACAGGCAGAGGTCGACTGAGGCCTCTGAGCTGAGAGGTAGGCAGTGGAAAGAGGCCTCCACTGAGAGCAACTGGGAAGGCAGGGAGCTGTTCAAGAGCAGAGCAGTGCCCGGGCCCTGGTGCTGGCATGCACCACCCCGCCAGCTCCAGATCCTACTTAGGTGGCTCCCCAGGGCCTCCTACCCCTGCCCCGAGTCTACCTACCTTCGAGGACAGGAGCTCGCGTGGCACTCGGAGGCCGCATGGTATCCTGCAGAGTTAAACAGGGGTCAGGGCCCAGAGTAGCCAGAGGCAGCACCGGGGCCCATCTTTGCCTGGGTCCTACAGAGTAAGCCCCAGCCTGAGCCACCCAGCCTCTGGATCCCTCGGGCTAAAGTCAAAGGCCACTCAGAGCCCCCTCCAAGAGGGCACTCATGCCCAAGGAGCTCCCTCCCTTGTGCCTGGACCCTGCTGTGGCTCTGCCTCTACCTCCCTGATGGCCTCGGCTGAGCCCCCTGCTTCTCCCCGGGCCTTGGTTTCTCTGTATGTATGTGGGGGGCGGGTATTGGGCTGGATGGTGTCCAGGGGCCCGCCAGCTCTAACAGCCTGTCCTCCGGGTGACAGTTCCAATACCAGGCTCTTATCTGCCAGGACAAATATTTGGGAAAGTGTGATGAAAGGCCTAGGGGGGAAGGAGGGGGTAAGCCAGAACCCGGAGAACTCCCACAGCTCCACAAGCACAACAGGAAATGGAGGCGGCATTGGGGAGGGAAGCGGGGGCTGTGGAATGTGGGGGGCAACCCCCCCCCCGCACTGGCCCCCTTTACTCAGCCCCAAGCTGCCCAGGGAGGCCCAGGAGGGAGGGGCCCGGGGGCTGGGCCCAGGGGAGGCCACCGCGCACAGCACGGCTTCGGCGGTCCTTGGAAACTGTTGAATCCAAAGCCCCCACCCACACCTCCAGGGTCCAGATGGGGAGAGTGAGGCTCTGAGAGGGGAAGTTTACCCGAGGCTACACAGCAGCGCTCGTTCTGGAGGGCGACAAAGGGACTGGAATGATAGAGGTAAAAAGACAAAGACGCCGAGAGACAGAGAGAAAGGAAGCACCGGGTGATGGAGGCAGAGGGAGACAGAAGCAGGGACATGGAGCGAGATGGATCGCACTGCGTGTGCCTTTGCCCTACCCCTGCCCTTGGCAGCCCCATCCAAGGGTCCAAAATAACCATCAAAAGCCAGGCTTGCAAAGGTCTGACTGCAGGATCAACAGGAAGAAGGCCAGAAGTGGGTGGGGGTCATAGAGCAAGAAATGTGGGAGAGACCGGGTGACAAGGCAACCGGGAGAGTGGGGCTCCCGCCTTCCCTGAGTGGCTGCCCTGCCTGGCCCGGCTCCTAAGGCCACACACCGACTGCTCCCACTCCACTCTCATCTCATCCCTTTCAGTTCCCATGCCAGGGCTGGGATCCGGGTTTGAGCCCCAGCAGGGCTACCTCCTGCACTGTCACTATCTCAGTGGCCTCCGTCTCCAGCTCTCAAAATGGGACAATGGCAAGTATACCACTTACAGGGCTGCATTTACACATTAGTCATGGGACACAGGCAAGGGCCCTGGCTTGGGGATCGCTGGCCCCGGCTCTGCCCAGTGCCCTGAGAAGCTCCCTGAATGAACCTGCTCTCCCTCCTTCTCCCCATCCCTTCAGACCAGCCTGCCTGAGGGTCCCCTCTCCCAGTTGCTTTAGACTCAAAGCCCAGCCAATCTGAGGCCCGCTCCACAGTGCCCTCCTCTCCCATCTCTCCTGCCCCAGCCCTCCAGCTGGATGCCGGGCCTCTTCCAGCGGGAGGGAACAGCGCCGTGGCGGAGCCAGCATCCACCACAGAGGCCTATCTGTCCCTTGGTGGGTGCCCCTCTGGATCCCCCCTTCCTACCAGAGATCTCAGCCAAAGAAAATCGTTAGCAGCGGAGGCTGGGGGAGGGGGTCATTTCAGCCTCCCTGCCCCTCCCCTCCTGGCCTCCCTGGCTGGCCACACTGTTTATTATTCTAAAGGAGGAATTTGGTGGGCTGGCCTGGACATGGGAGGTCACAGGCAACCAGGACTGGCCTGGCTCTGGAAGGCTGTGGGCTGGGCCCCTGGGCGGGCAAGCGGCCTCCCCCACCACCCCCGACCGTGGCTCCTCTCCTGCTAGGCCTGGCGCTAAGGGGGCTTAGAGTCCCTGAGACTCTGAGCTTCGAGGGGCCTTCTTGAACGGGCAGCAGAGGCCCAGAGACGGACAGAGTCACGGCCCAGTCACAGCAAAAAGACAGAATCAGGCTGCAGGGAGAGGATGGGCTGGGCACAGGAGCTCAGGGAGAGTGCAGCCACCTTCGGGAGAGTATGGACAACCAGGGTTCTTGGACTGGCTTCTCTCTTTATGAAATGAGCATTTCACATGGGGCTTCAGACCTACTCTGAGACTGAGTGTGTCTCCAGCCCTCTCTGGGACTCAGTTTCCCCATCCACACAGGGAGAGGTTTGGATGGGTCATCTCAAAGAGCCATTCTGCTCTAAAACTGCCAGAGAGAAGATTCTGGTCACTATTATTCCTGCCAGGGTGGTTTGGAGACGTAGGGACTGATGGGAGGAAGGGCAACATTCCTGAGGCTGACGTAGACTGAGAATCCATAAGCCATCTCATTCCATGGATTCAATCCCCTGACCATTTGGTCCCAGATTTGCTGTGTGTACTTTGACAAGTTGCTTCCGTCTCTGGACTTCAGTCTTTCAGGTGACTTCCAGACAAATAAACGGGTGATGTGGACACTCAGGAGGTGGCAGGGGTAAGCGTGGCGTGGGCCACAGGCCGGTGGACTGGGAAGAACCAGAGTGGGGCTTGGGACATGACCTCCTGGACCATCTTGGATGATTCCCTGACACCCCCAGTTGTCCATCCAACGCCTTATAGACTTCTGTGCTTCCCAGGGGCTGCTGTATTTCCAGCCGACCCCAGAGGGGCCCAGGTGGCTGATATGGGGGTAGGGGACTTGCCTGTGACCACTCCCCTTCTTCAGGGGCAGGGCTGCGCTCCAAGGAGGAGCCACCTGGGACAAGGTGGGTGTCATAGTCAGGGAGGAGGCATCCCCCTTCCTGCCACACACTCTCTTGCCTGGGGAGGCCCTTGGAGCAGAGAGAGGGAGGGGACCCTCAGAGATACCCCCGCTTTGCACATGAGGCGAGTTCTCGTGATTCCTCCTATTTTGGCCAGGTTGGGGGTACAGAGGTCCAAAGATGAGATAATTGCCCAGCTCCTCACAGTGAGTCAGAGGGAACCCCTCCCTTGGTCCAGGGGAGAACCCCAAGTGAGCAGAGGACCCCAAGCCCAGGAGAGCAAGCGTGCTTGAGGAGTCACTGTGAGAGCCCCAGCCTTCTCTCCTTCCTGCTCATACAAGCTTCCACTCCGTTCCCACTGCCTTAATCTAAATAAATCCAGTCCATCTTGGCCACATCCGCTAGCAGCAGCTTCCCTCCCTCGGGGTCCCGAGGCTCCCACGACACAGGCAGGCTGGGGGCGGGGGTGTGCTGCATGGCTGCCAGAGGGGGGGGGCTTGCACACGGAGAGCACGTGCACACACAGCACAGGCTCCTGCCTACGCGCTCGTTCACACACTGCTCTGAAACACACCCGTGTACAGTGGGCCCTGCGTGTGCCCAGCCCTCACGTCGGCACCAGATACGTGCACACCCACACATGCACACACACAGCTCCACGGCGCCCAGACTGCAGCCTCTGTGCTGTCCCATGTGCCCACGTGAGGTGCGCACATGCGCGGCAAGTCACATGTATACCCGGCACAAGCAAAGCTGTGCACATACAACACGCACAGAGCATGTGCACACGGTACCCCAAACTCACCTGAACACACGTGCACATGTGGGCACAGACAAGCCACAGATCCAACACGTGTTGTGTACTTACTGTGCCAGGTGCCGTTCTGAGCACTTGACATAGATCTACTCACTTGTTCCTCAGACAACACTATGAGGTAGATACAAGGATCGTCCCATTTTAGATGGGGAAACTGAGGCAGAGAGAGCTTATGGAAGTTGCCTAGGAACACAGAGCAGAGACTGAGCCAAGGCAGACTGCTCTGCCACCATTCCTCTGTTTACTGGGTTTGGCTGGGCTGAGGCCAGCGGGGACTGATGGAAACAGACTGGACTGAGATTTATCCAGCCCAGAATGACAGGACTTGGTGATCTGATGTAGGGCGGCTGGAGAGAGAGGTATCCTAAGCCCCACCCCTATGTCTGGCTTAGAGTACTAGCGGGCAGGAGTGTGTGTGTGCTGGCGGCACAATACCATTTTCTGAGATGAGAATGTGGCGGAGGAGAGGGTTTGGGAGCTGGCACTGACCTAGTTTAGAATTTGGAGGGGCTGCGTATCTGAGTGGGCAGAGGGACACTCAGTCTGGAGGTGGGGAACAGGCTGCGTAGAAATAGCAGTGAAATGGGGGTGGGAGGAAGCCCTGCTTCAGGGAGAAGCGGGCGCTTGAGGCCAGCAGTCTTGGCCCAGGGATGCTCTGAATAAACAAGATGCCAGAGGGAGGAGGAGGCCCGGCCGTGGGGTCAGAGTCTTGGAATGTCAGAGCTCCAAGGCCCTCAGGAGCCAGCTATCTGATCCAGCCCCCTTACCGTGCCCCACTGTACAGATGGGGAAACTGAGGCTTGGAAAAGGACAGGGATAGGTCTCAGTGTTTTGACCTAGGCAATCCTGGGCTCAGTTGACCAATGGGGAACTGAAGCACACCTGACTGGGCAGCCCCTGCCTCCAGCCCCGGCTCAGATGTGAGGCTGGTGGCTCAGAGCCTAGGGTTCAAACCACAGCTGCTGCTACCTCCCTCCCCACAGGATACCGACCCCCCTTGCCACACACAGACCTTTATATCACCTTCCCTGCATTGTCCCAGCCTGGCGGGGATTGGAAAGAGACTCAGAGGAGGTGACTTGCTAAGTTGCTGGCAGAAGGGGGGACACAGACTCCGGTCTCCTGCCCGGTGGTCTAGTCCTCTCTCCTCCACACCACAGACACTTCACAGCCCCTGACACAAACTGTGGGGACAGATCCCTGGCTGAGAGTAACGGATGTGGGTTCTAGCTCAGCCCTGTCACCCTGGTCCTGCCCCTCTCTGAGCCTCAGTTTCCCCATCTGTACACAGGGTGGGCAGGGCTGTCCTAGGAACACTTCTGGGGCTGACATGGAGTGATTCTCAGGACCCTGCTCTGGAAGAAGCTGTGCTGAG